CCAGCATGGTAGAAACTAGGTATAGAACAAAATCAAATGTTGTATACCAAGATAAGGTAAAAATAGGTACATGATTTAAATTTAAAGAGTGATACCGTAAGCAAATTAGGAGAGCAAGGACTAGTTTACTTGCCAGATCTTTGGAGTAGGGAAGAATCTATAACCAAACAAGAGATACAGAGCATTATGAAATGTGGAATGGATAATTTTGATTACATTAAATTAAAAAGGTTTTGCACAAACAAAACCAGGCAACCAAGATTAGGAGGAAAGCAGAAAGCTAGGAAACAATTTTCATAGCAAGTGCCTGTGATGAAGGCATCATTTCTTAATTATATAGGGGACTGAGTCAAATTTATAGAAATACAAGTAATTCCGCAATTGATAAATGGCCAAAGGATATGATCAGGCAGTTTTAAGATGAAGAAATCAAACTTATTTATACTCATATGAAAAAAGCTTTAAATTCCAATTAGAGAAATGCAAATTAAAACAACTCTGAGGTAGCAACTCCTATCTATCCAATTGGCTAATATGATAGAAAGGGAAAATGATGAATGTTGGAGGGAATATTGGAAAATTGGGACTAATGCATTGTTGGTGGAGTTATGAGCTGATCCAACCATTCTGGACATCAGTTTGGAACTATGTACAAAGGGCAATCAAATTAAGTAAACAGTTTGATCCAGCAATACCACTCCTAGGTTTGTAACCCAAAGAGGTCACAAAAAGGAAAAAGGACCTCCATGTACCAAAATATTTATATAGCATCTCTTTTTGTTGTGACAAAAAAGTGGAAAATTAGGGGATACCCCTCAATTGAGGGATGGCTAAACAAGTTATGGTATATGAACGTAGTGGAATACTATTGTGACCTAAGAAATGACAAGCAGGACAATTTCAGAAAAAAAAAAACATGGGAAGGCCTACATGAACTGATACAAAGTGATGTGAGCAGAACCAAGAGAACATTGTATATAGAATCATCCACATTATGCAATGATCAGCTATGATTGACTTAACTCTTCTCAGAAATACAATGATCCAAGACAATTCCAAAGGACTCATGATGGAAAATGTTATCCACTTCCAAAGGAAGAAGTGATTTAGACTGAATGTAAATTGAAGTATACTATTTTCACTTTATTTTTACATGACTCTTTTTGGCCTCTTTCTTCTTTCACAAAACAACTAATACGGATATGTGTTTTAGATGATTGGATATACATAACTTAGATCAAATTACTAACTATCTTAGGGAGGGGTTAGTGAGGGAAGGAGGGAGATAATTTGAAACAAAAATATTTTAAAAAATGAATGTTAAAAAATCTCAACATGTAATTAAAAATAAAAGACTATGAAAAATGAATATTACAAGCGAAGTCCAACATTAATGAAGAAAAGAGAATAAGTGGTAGAGTAGATTTTTCTTGTCATTTAACTAAATAAAAGAATACTATCAAATTAACTCATTGAATGTTATCTCTTGTGAAGAGCCATTATGGCAGAGTATCAGCAACAACGCAGTTAAATTCTCTCAATATTCTCTACCAAATCCTCATTAAATCAAGTTCTGGAGAAGCATAGCCCACAAAAGGTCATGGGGAGACATTTTCTTCAACCCAAGACCACTTAGAGGGTTGAAAGGGGAGGTCTGTGACACTTATACTGTGCCCTGGTGCATAGGGGACATTGTGGCAACAGAAGCAGTGGTCATTGGAGGCAGGTACAACAAAAACTGCAGCAGTTTAAGCATCTTAGCCTAAAGACATTTAAGGGAAGAGAGGAGCACTAGTACTTGATACTATAGAAGAGCAGGACACCTGGACACAGTTGAGAAGCTGAAAGGAGTTTTTGTGCCTGAAGCTGAAGGAGATGAGGAGCACTTTCTGGACAAAGTCCCAATGCCAGACAAGAAGAGTGATTATATCTCCCCTTGAAAACCCTTGGAAGCACTAATGACAGGCAGACACCCAGAGCTAACTCTGAAAATAGCTGCATCAAATGACCTGACCCTTGAGACAATGCCCCTATACTCACCTCAAAAGCAGAATCTAACCTAAAGGTAAAGTTCAAAATTCAGAAATAGACTTTGAAAATGAGCAAACAACAACAGAAAAGAATCTGACCACAAAAAGCTTCTATAATGGAATGAAATACACATTCAAAAGAAGACAATGTAAAAGCATCTATAAGCAAAACCCTGAAGAAAATTTTAAGTTAGACTTAACCTTAACACCTCAACAAGAACTCCTGGAAAAGTTAAAGAGATATGAATGGTAGAAGAAAAATTGGGAAAAATTAAATTAGTGTGATACAAGAAAAACAACTAGAGTGAAAAGACAACTTTAAAAATTGAATTGGCCAAATGGTGAAAGCAGCATGAACAATCATTAAAGAAAAATCATTAAAAAAAAGAAAAAGAAAAAGAAAAGAACTCCTTAACAAATAGAATTAACCAAGGAGCCAAGGTGGCAGAGTAAGGAGAAAGAAATCCTGAGCTCTCCCAAATTCATCTCCAAACAACATTAAAATAATAACTTTAAATGAGTTCTGGAGAGGCGGAATCAATAAAATGATGGGGTAAACATTTTTCGAACCCAAGACAACTAAGAAAATCAACCGGAAAGTTTTGTCTCACTAAAGTGGGAGTGGAGCACAGCCCAATGCAGGCATCCCCCAGGAGCAGACCCCATTCTAAAGCCATCAGCTTTCCCCAAAATGTGTATGCAAAACAAGCTCCTAATTTTAATATGCATTATTAAATTTTTCTCTATAACTTTCTTAAGTTTAGACCATCTACAAAACAATAAGGCAAGCCTTTTTTATAGCAAAAAATCTATTCTAGAAGTTTCCCAAGTTTCAAAGACAAGTATGCCATTCTACAATAAGGTGGAGGAGCAGCAGCAGTAGTAGTAGTAGCAGCAGCAATAGTAGTAGTAGTAGCAGTGGTAGTAGTAGTAGCAGCAGCAGTAGTAGTAGTCATAGTAAAAGTAATAGAAGAAATTGTGGTATTTTTATTGTTATATAATTGTGCATTGCATTATATAGTTTATGCTTTTATATGTTATATAATTATAGTATTATACAATTAGTTTTTATTTTAAAATGTTAATTATAACATTTTTATTAAAACTAGCATCTATATAGTAAGCTCTATGTGCCATCTTTGTGTTAGACAATTTACCAGTATCATTGCCTTTTATCCTTATAACAACCCTGAGAAGTGGACTTTATTATCGTCACAATATTATGGATGATGAAACTGAGACAAGTAAAAATTATGTAACCTGACCAATGTCACACATCTATTAAGTATCTGAGGCAAGATTTTAACTGAGGTCTTCCTGACTCTAGATCCAGCACTGAATTAACAACCAAAGTTGTCCGATTCTTAAGAGAGAAAATAAAAACAGACAACAAAGGACAGGAGCTTCTTCTACTGATTTATGAGCACAGACCCACAATATCAAATGCTCTCAGAAACTTTACTCATTTGATGCAATGATTGGCCCTTGGATTATATTTATACCTGCCCTAGGGTGACTATCCTTTGCTTGTCCAATTTGTTAACCCAAAGCCTCATTTTGTTACCTGAGAGATGGCTTGCAAGGATCTCAATATCACATTCAAACCCAGACAGAAGAACTCAGTAACTGCCGTTTTATTTTTTTTTCAGTGTTCTATTACAAAATGCATTCTTTCTGGAAGTCAAAACACAGAAATAGAAATTGAGCAGTAGTTTTTCTACTGTCATTTTTCATTTTTCCATCCACCCAGAGATGTGTCATCTACTCTTCAATCATCCTCTTCCAAAGAATTTAAAATCTGCAAAAAATGACCTTTTCTATTTACCTCATTTTCCTCAAAAGACTCAGGTTATTCCTATCTTTGGTTCTCTTGGCAGTATCCTTACAGCACTATTTCACGTTTTGTCTGAAACATCTATTGCCTGTCCATTCTTCCTTTTCTTGTACATATCATATACACCTTTAATTTGGGAGTGGAGTTTCTCTGCATTATCATTGGCCTATACAAGCAAGTACTTTTTACTTCTTCATTAATATAATTTCTCTTTGTAACTACTGAATTTTTCTCTTGGGAAGTCCTATCTATCCTGGGATGATTGATAGAACTTCACACCACAGAAATTATCATTAATTGAGATTTTAAAAATAGATTCTTTCTGAATCCAGACTGCTTATCATTTTGTAGCCAGATTTCCTCTCTTCTTCTCAGAACTCTACCGGGCTATGGTCACTCCCTACACACTCAATTTTCTAACATTGACAATACATCAACCAGTTTCTCTATCAAGTGGGAATAATATCTAGCATACAATTTCCATTAAGGGGTTCTTCTACCTTTTAAAAAATGAATGCATCATTGAAGCAAATATACCCATGTACAAATATCAAATACATGAATCAGAATGTAGCATTTGACAGAAGTTAAAATAAAACTTATCAGTTAGAAATCCCTTAAAGTACCATGACATCTGCAGGATCATGAAACAGGCCACTGCAAAGGTCCTAAATTGAAGCAAATTTAATGAAACTTCCCAGCCACATGGACTCATAACCAGAGGAATGTATATAAGGAAAAACAGTGACAAAAATTTTTTATTTTAGGCAATTGGGGTTAAGTGAATTGCCCAGGGTCACACGGCTGGTAAGCGTCAAGTGTTTTGGTATGAGGACAGATCTGAAATAAGGTCCTCCTGACTTCAGGGACGGTGCTCTATCCACTGCACCAACTAGCTGACCCAAACAGTAACAATTTCACCACGATTACTTTAACAGAGTTGAAAGAAATGGCTATTATCTGTTTTCACCCAAAATGCAATTTAATCACAAATAAAAGAAAGAAAAAAATTATTAAAGAATAAGAGGTAGTACTTAAGTCTCAGGTCAATGCTGTATCATCTCTATTTCTGATAATTAGCCATTGAATGATGTGAATAACCTGTGCTAAGCCCAAGGGTGGAAGAGAAAAGCTACCTTCCAAGAAACAACTGGGTTCGCTCCAAGTTCTATTGTCTCTTTTTCCGTTGTGTGTAGCATTTGATGGAGAGCCTGGGCAACTAAATACACTGCTTTGTAAACATAAGAACTCTGTTCAATTATGTGTTTGTCTAAATCTACACGAGGTAAATGTGCCAAGGACAAATGTTCTTGGCATAAAGAATGTATCATTTCTACAGGACTTCCTTCTGAAAGTTTACAGCTAAAGACTAACTCCCAGAAAGTCTTTAGGAAAATGTCTTCGGGGTTCACACTGGGATTCAAGCTTCTTAGGAAATCTGTGAAACCAGGAACCTCAATCTTGGAAGGAGAAAATATTATTGTACCATGATAATGGTTAATTATTTCATAATTAGAACCTACAGAAAAGTCCCAGGAAGAGGTAGTGACCAACATCTTTCCATACAGCACAAAATCAATCATTTCGATAGAAAATTCTTGAAAACACTCTGCATCTCCATAAATGAAAATCACATTTGATGATGACACAATGATCCTGAAAAAGAATTTGATAGCTTCAATATTTTCAGTGTCAAAGATTGTGGGAACACTTTCCTTAAAAGCCACACACAGACCATTCCTGACCATTTCCTCTTTCAGCTGATTGAAGAAATATTCACCTCTTGTGTTATCAGAAAGAATCAGGCCAATCCAAGTCCAGTCAAAATGGAGCATCAATTGGATGACTGCAAGATGCAGAGTGGCTTCCCTGCTGCCCATCTGATAGACATACGGATACTGGGCCTTATCAGTCAGGAGAAGATCAAATGGGCCATAGTTGATCTAAATGAAAATAAAGAAGAAATAATTGTAACTGTGATTTAAGTTCCTTCCTGGTACAAATATTTCCTCCTTTACATTTGTATCTCAAGCAACAATCAGTGGATTATACATACAAGTACTGAATAAATGCTTTTTTGTTTTGTTTTGTTTTTTGCTTTGTAAATAGTACTTTATTTTTTAAATCACATGTAAAGACAATTTTTAACATCCATTTTTATATAAAGTTTTGAGTTCCAAATATCCTACCTCCCTGTCACCCAATATTCCTTTCTAAGACAGTAAGCAATTGGATTTAGGCTATGTATATGCAATCACGTAAAACATATTTCCAGATTAGACATGTTGTGAAAGAAGAAACAGAACAAAATGAAAAAAGTGAAAATATTGTTTCAATTTGCCTTGAAACTCTATCAGTTCTTTTTTTGAATATGAATAGCAAGATTATATTGAAGAGAAGAGCTAAGTCAAGCATAGCTGAGCATCATACAACGTAGCTGTTACTGTATACAATGCTTTGGTTCTACTCACTTCATTTTGTGTCAGGTTATATGTCATAATGTTCTCTATCTCTTGTTTAGTCAAATTCTTCCCTTCTCCTTAGATCTGAAAGGTAAACTATTCCTCGCTCTCCTAATTTGTTTATGGTATCACCCTTCCTGTTTAAATCATGTACCCATTTTGACCTTATCTTGGTATACAGTGTATGATTTTGGCCTATACCTGGCTTCTGCCATGCTGTTTTTCAGTTTTCCCAACAGTTTTTGTCAAATAGTGAACTCTAATCCCAGAAACTGGGGGCTTTGGGTTTATCAAACACTATGTTACTGTAGTTATTTACTACTGTGTTTTGTGTACCTAATTTGTCCCACTGACCCACCACTGTATTTGTTATCCAGTGCCAGATAGTTTTAATGGTTACCATTTTATAATGTAGTTTGAGATCTGGAATGGATAGGCTACATTCCTTCACATTTTTTATTAATTCCCTGGATATTCCTGACCTTTTGTTCTACTATATTAATTTTGTTGTTATTTTTTCTAGCTCTATAAAATATTTTTTGTAGTTTGGTACAACACTGAATAAATAAATTAATTTTGATAGAATTATCATTTTTACTATATTGGCTAGACTAACCCATGAGCAACTGATATTCTTCCAATTGTTTGCGGGTTAATTTTAATTGATAAGTCATATCATGTGGATCCTAGACCCTGTCAGGCAGGAGAAAATCAAATGGGCAATAGCTGATCTAAATGATAATAGACTGGGACAGTGATTCAAGTTCCTTCAGAGCAGAAATTTGTCTTCCTTTACCTTTGTATCTTAAGCAACTATCAGTCGATTATACATAGCAAATACTGAATAAATGCTTATTTATCTGTTTGTTTGGTTTTTGCTTTGTAAATATTGTTTTATTTTTTTACTCACATGTAAACACAATTTTAACATTCAATTTTTATGTAAAGTTTTGAGTTCCAAGTGTTCTACCTTGCCCTCGCCCAAGAAACCTCCCTAAGATTGCAAGCAATGTGATATAGATTATATATGTGTAATCATGTAAAACACATTTCCATATTAGTCATGTTGTGAAAGAAGGAACAGAAAAAAATGAAAAAAGTGAAAATAATATGTTTCAATTTCACTCAATGATGATTCAAGTTTCTTCAGAGTAGAAATTTGTCCTCCTTTACATTTGTATCTCAAGCAACTATACCTGGCTTGTGCAGAGCAAGTACTTAATAAATGACTGTTAATTTAATTTTATTTTTTTGTGTGTGTGAAAAACCAAGTATATTTCCCTTCATCCTATCCAGCCCCCCATTTATTCTACTCTCTCTTTTGACCCTGTCCCTCCTCAGAAGTGTTTGCTTCTGATTATCACCTCGCCCGATCTGCCTTCCACTCTATCAACTCCCTGCTCTCTTGTCCCCTTCCCTCCTTATTTTCCTGTAGGATAAGATAGATTTCCATACACCATTGAGTATGCTATTCCCTCCTTAAGCCAAATCCCATGAGAATAAGATTAACTCATTCCCTGTCACCTTTCCCCATTTCCCCTCCACTGTAAAAGCCTTTTCTTGTCTGTTTTATGTGAGCTAATTTACCCCATTCTACTTCGCCCTTTCTCCTTCTTCCAGTATAACCCTCTCTTATCCCTTAATTTTATTTTCCAGATATCATCCTTTCATCTTCAACTCACCCTGTGCCATCTATCTATCTATCTATCTATTGATCTATCTATCTATCTATCGATCTATACATACATATAATTTTTCCCCTCCCACTACCCTAATACTGACAAAGGACTCATGAGTTACAAATATTATCTTTCCATGCAGGAATGTAAACAGTTCACCTTAATAAGTCTCTTATGATTTCTCTTTCTTGTTTACCTCTTACAAGTTTCACTTGAATCTTGTATTTGAAAGTCAAATTTTATATTCGCTATGGTCTTTTCATCAAGAATGCTTGAAAGTCCTCTATTTCACTGAATGACCATCTTTTCCCCTGCAGAATTATTCTCAGTTTTGCTGGGTAGGTGATTCTTGGTTGTAATCTTATCTCCTTTGCCCTCAGGAAAATCATACTCCATGCCCCCTGGTCCCTTTACGCAGAAGCTGCTAAATCTTGTGTTATCCTGATTGTGTTTCCACAATACTTGAATTGTTTCTTTCTGGTTGCCTGCAATATTTTCTTCTTGACCTGGGAATTTTGGAATTTGACAACAATATTCCTAGGAGGTTTCCTTTGGGGATCTCTTTCAGGAAATGATCAGCGGATTCTTTCAATTTCTATGTTGTCCTCTGGTTCTAAAATATCAAGGCAGTTTTCCTTGAGGATTTCTTGAAAGATGATGTCTAGGCTCTTTTTTTTTGATCATGGCTTTCAGATAGTCCAATCATTTTTAAATTCTCCCTCCTGGATGTATTTTTCAGGTCAGCTGTTTTTCCAATGAGATATTTCAGATTCTCTTCTATTTTTTCATTCTTTTGGATTAGATTTACAGTGTCTTGATTTCTCAAATAGTCACTAGCTTCCAATTGCTCCATTCTAATTTTTAAGGAAATATTTTCTTCAGTAAGCTTTTGGACTTCCTTTTTTATTTGGCCAATTTTGCTTTTTAGGACATTTTTCTCCTCAGTGGCTTTTTGGACCTCTTTTGCCATTTGGGTTAGCCTATTTTTTAAGGTGTTATTTTCTTCAGTATTTTTTTCGGGTCTCCCTTAGCATCACTTTTAGTTTTTCCTCTACTTCTCTTACTTGCTTCTCAAAATCCTTTTTGAGCTCTTCCATGACCTGGGACCAATTCATATTTTTCTTGGAGGCTTTGGATATAGGAGCTTTGGCTTTGTTGTCTTCTTCTTGTTCTATGTTTTGATTTTCTTTGTCACCAAAGTAAGATAATATAGTCTGACTCTTTTTGTTCTGCTTGCTCATGATCCTGGCCAATTACTTGAATTATAAACTCTTTGTTAAGGTAGGGGTCTGTTTCCATTGTGTAGAATGTAGTGTCCCAAGTTTCAGGGGTTTTGTGCAGCTTTTTTCAGAGATACTTCTAGGGACCTGCAAATTATCAGTTCTTCCAAGGTGCTATGATCAAGGGTGATGTGTTTACTCCTTTCCTGGCCTGTGCTCTAGTCTATGAGTGACCACAAGCACTCTTTTCTGCCTTGGAACTGTGAGGAAGATTTCCTCTCCACAGCCCCTACAAGCTCCACCACGCCAGAGCTCCTCCTCACCCCAGGACCGCCACCCAGAACTGTGACTCAGATCCAAGCATGGGCAAAGCAAGAGAATCCTGCACCAACAGAGAGATCCCTGCAATCCCCCTCTGATCAGCCACCTAATTCCCCCTCAGTCTGTGGTCCAGAAGCTCAGGAGGCAGCAGCCACCCCAGGCTGAGCTTGTGGAATGGGGCTGGGACCCTGCACTTCTTTCTCAGCACAGAAACAGACTTTTCCCACTGATCTTCTAAGCTGTCTTTGGCATTCGTGAGTTGAGAAGTCTGGAAACCACCACAGCTGTCTGTGATTCAGCCCTCTGAGGCCTGCTCCAGGTTTGCTGCAGATGTATGTAAATATACCCTATGTTCATAGTAAGGGTTCCATAGATAGTGCATTTATGAAATATTTTATGCCACTTGTTAGAAGGTGACACAGATGTATACATTGATATATAGATTTATATACATGTATTAGTATAATTTGTCTGTCATTTAACCAATATACACATTGTGACCCAACAAGGCATTCAGAACTGCACAAAAGAATAAGGATGTTTTTATGTTTTAAAATATTCATTTATTTTGATCCCTAGCTTCTAGTACAAGACACCTCACATGTCACCACTTGATAAAGGTACCTTGAATTGAAGTGTATGGAATCACATCTGGATAATTACTCAGGGTTTTCATTGATCCCGGCTACTCGGTAAAATAAAATCCTAGCATTTGAACCAATCCTCAAAGAACACTGCTTTAAAAAATGTGATCCTGCATCACCAATGATCTTTAAAGAAGCAAAATTATGAGAAGCCCAGAAGATAATGTAGAACAACAACAACAACAAGCCTCCTGAGCTTCTGGCCCACAGACTGAGGGGGAATCAGGTGGCTGATAAGAGGGGGATTGCAGGGATCTCTCTGTTGGTGCAGGATTCTCTTGCTTTGCCCATGCTTGGATCTGGGTCACAGTTCTGGGTGGCGGTCCTGGGGAGAGGAGGAACACTGGTGTGGTGGAGCTTGTAGTGGCTGTAGAGAGGAAATCCTCCTCACAGTTCCAAGAGAGAAAAGAGGGCTTGTGGTCACTCATAGACTAGATAACAGCAGCAATAATAATATGCTGTGGCATGGAAACATTAATGAATTTACTATAAAAAATTTCATGAAATATATAGTCTCTGAATTATCTGATGCATGCCCTCATCCTCTCTGCTCATGGAGGGATTGGTTTGCACACACACACAAGAAAAAAAGGCATCTTGACTTTGCACTTAACCAAGTTATTTCTGTTATATTGTCCTGTTGCTTCCCAAATGACATAGCACTTAGGCTGTATCTTGTTTATCATCATTTTCTGTGATTACCCAGATAGAAAACACACATTAGGCCCTGGATAAAGAGTTCTTTATTAGAAATAAACAGAAGTGAATGTATAAACTATTTCTGTTTTGAAGGATACATCATATATTTCACAAATCAGACCCAGATTCAGGAAGATCAATTCTTAACTGAAGTGTGAAGATCACTGTAAACGTGGAAATACATGGTAGTTGTTAGCACAGACTGCTGAAGGGAAGAACGAGAGCTTAATTCTTGTATGGAAAATGCACAAATCAATTTTAAAATGAAAAAAAAAATACAGAGTCCTTTCCTGGAGAATTTGCTGAGATTAGGGAAAAATTAATCTTTCTTCCATCAAAAGTCTTCAGAATTTTATACCAATATAAAACAATGAACTAAGATTATTTGTTGTTTTGTCAATAAGTCATGTCCAACATTTCATGATCATATTTAGGGTTTTCTTGGCAAAGATACTGGAGTGGTTTCTCATTTCCTTCTCCAGCTGATTTTACAGATGAAGAAACTGAGGCAAGCACAGTGAAGTGACTTGCTCAGGATCACAGAGCTAGTCTGAGGCCAGATTTGAACTCAGGTCCTCCTGACTCCAGCCATGAAACTCTACCCAGGGCATCATGTAACTGCCTGACCTAAGAGCATAGTGACCATTAGGTGGGCAGATTTTTACTTTACAAAACCTTCAGAGCTAAACCAAATATAGCATTATAGGACTACTTCATGTAGAGGATAGAGTGAGTTCCTTGATGATAGGGACCTTTTTATATTTTTTTTTGTTTTATCTCCTGTTTTCAGAAGAGTACCTGAGAACTTCCTGACATCTTATTGACTCACTGACACTGCACAAGAATAAATAATAAAGAATTTGCTGTTTTAAACACAACAAACAAATTGGATGAAAATGGACAGCAGTATTGGTCTTCCTTACCTGTGGGACTTTATAAAGTTTTAGAATAGTGGCCATAGACATGGACAATGAAGATGACATCCCGCCAATGACAGCCACTGATTTGGGCTGCCTGTCACAGCTGTAGTTAGGGATGGTTGGGCCTCTCCCTGACAACCATATCAAGGAGTTTTCCACAGCTAGTTTGTTGTTATGGAAGTTATTGAACAACTGGTATCCCAGGGTTATGTTGGGCAGCAAATGGGGGTTCTTGTTGATCTCATCCACAGCAAATTGAAAAATGAGAAAATGTTGGTAATGTTTGAGCATTACCCTAAAATGAGAGGAAGAAAGTAAAGAAGCAGGTAAAACTCTATGAGCACAGAAATAACAAGGTGTCATAGTGGTTAGAGTGTTGGACATGAAGTCAGGAATTTCTGTCTTAAATCTTGCCCCTAATATTTACTAACTGTGTGGCCCTGGGCAAACCATTTCACCTCAGTAACCCTCTGTGTCCTAAAGTGTAAAATGAGAGCCTTGGACTAAATATCCACTAAGATCCTTTTTAGGAACACAGAAAAGAAAAAAAATTATATGCTTTAGAACTTAGATAGTCTAGTCTTGAAAGAGAATTGAATAAACCAGGAAGTTTGAATTTCTATCCTGTGATTCTGAGAAAAGAGTTTTGCCAACAGAAATTTGTAATTCTGAATTTGTAATTTGGAAATACTTTAATGGTCCCTTTGACCATACTATATATTATATAGGAATAGAAACATATATTGATAATGTGGTTTCTGGATGTCATCTAATTTCTAATTATATTTTCAGGTGAAGATGGAATATGTGTATTTGAAAAATAGGATTTTCATGACTATTTAATTGGTTACACTGAAAGATTCATTTTCAAGAACTCATTTCATTCTTGCTAAAATAATTGCCTAAGCTAAAGCAAAATTTTCAAAATTTCATGTTTCAGTGCATATTTATTGACCCTGCAGCCAATCCTCCTATCTTTTTTCAGGTAAGGAAACAGTGTTTCTTTCATAAAAGTTGGATAACTGAGATCCAGGGAATCAATCGATCAATTAACACTTACTAAGCACCTACTATGTACCAGGTACTTGCTAAACACTAAGGATACCAAAAAAAAAAAAATAAATAAAACAGCAAAAAAGAGTCCCCGCCCTCAAGGATATTGCAGTTTAATGGCAAAAACAGTATGTACATATGGAAGGAGGGAGGGAGGGAGAGAGAGACAGAGAGAGAGACAGAGAGCAGAAACAAAGAGACACAGAGAGACACAGAGAGAAAGAGAGATTAAGAGAGAGAACTATGTACAATCCAAATGAAAAACAATTAGCAAAGGGAAGGCACTGGAATTAAAAGGGGTTGGAGAAGGCATCCTTTAGAAAGTGGGATCTGAATTGAGATTTAAAGGAAGCTGGGGGGAGTCAATATCTCTCACAGAGTGTGGAAAGCATTCCAGGCAAGATGAAAAGTTAGAGCAAATACTCAGATCCAAGTGATGGAGTTTCTTCTCCATGAAACAGCCAGAAGGCCAGTGTTGTTGTATCTAATAATACATTGGGGTAGAGCAAGTAAGGTGTAAGAAGACTGGAAAGATAGGAAGGGGCTAGATAAGAAAGTGCTTTGAATTCCAAACAGCTAATATTATATCTGATCCTGGAAGCAATAGGATGTAAAAGGAGCTTACTAAGTGGTGAGGTGATATAATCAGACTGCTGTTTTAGGAAAATCACTTTAGTGACTGAATGGAAGATACATTGGAATAGGGAGAGATTGAAGGTAGACAGACCCACCAACAGGCTTTTGCAGATTGAAGGTATGAGGTGATGAAGACCTTCACTAAAGTGGCAGTATCATAAGAGATAAGGAAGTATATTTAAGAAACATTGCAAAGGTGAAATTGACAGGTCTTTGCAACAGCTTGAATATGTGGGGTGAGAAACAGGGAAAAATTTAGGATCACTCCAAAGTTAGGAGTCAAAGGGCATCAGAGGATGGCATGATGCTCTACAGTAATAGGAAAAGTAGGAGTGGGAGAGTTTAGGAGCAAAATATTTCCCTTTTGGAAATACTGAATATAAGATGTCCGTTGGATGTTTAGTTTACAATATCTCAAAGGCAGTTGGTCATATGAGATATGAGGTCAGCAGAGAGTTTAGGGAAGAATAGGTGAATATAGCAAATAGCATAGGGATGCTATTTAAATCCATCAGAGCTGATGAGATAACCAAGTGATATAGTACAGTGGGTTAAAGAAAGAAGCCTGAGGGACACCTTTAGTTAGTGTGACCTGAAGAGGATCCAGCAAAGGAGAAAGAGAAGTAACAATAAGAAAAGGAGGAGGAGAACTAGGGAAACATTGGCCCTAAAATTTGGTGAGAAGAGAGCATCAAGGAGGAGAGAGTGATCAGCAGTGTCCAAGGCTGCAGAGAGGACAAGGAGAACGAGGAAAAGACAGAAAAAATGCTCTCAAAATCACAGAATAGTCAACTGAAAGACAGAAAGTGGAGTTCCCAATTAATGGAAGATGAAATCTTTAACACCTGGTTTCAAGCACCTCATAAGCATTTATAAGGCCCCAACTAAAGTTCAGGCATTGTCAAGTCATGGGCATGTAGAGACAAATGTGAAACAACTCCTATCCTCAAAGAGGTTACATCCTAGCTAGTAGAGAGACAACAGTCCATATAGCAGTACATTAAGTTAGAGACAAAGATGATGAAATATGATTCAGGGGAAGTCACTAGCATCTCAGAAGGAGAAGAAAAGGCTTAATGTCAAAGGAGTTTAAATTGAAATCAAAGCAGGAATTCTGAGACATGGAAGTGAGAAGATATTGCATTTCTGGTGTAAGGGGGAAAATTCAGAAAAGTGAGAAGATATGAGATGGAGTGTGGGACATGAAGAATAAAATGGTTATTTTGGCTGAATTTAAAAGCTCATTGAAAGCTGTGAAGGATAACATAGGTAGATATTTAGGAGGATAGAAATGCATAAAGAGCTTTAAATGCTTGTGTAGTTTACACTGGACCAGAGAGACACCAGAGAGTGACTCTGATTTAGCAAATAGGGAAGTGTCATATCAAGTGCTGTACTTCAGGAAAATGCCTTGGGCAGTTGTGGGAAGACTGAGGTGGGTCACTGAAGTGCTCCACTGGAGAGATGAACAATATTTGATCAGCAGTCATTGCTTGAAGGGAAAGAAAGGGACAAGTGTAAAATCTAGTAGAAATTTGTTTGCAAATTCATAGAAATATCTCTTCATCAGGAACTATATTAAAAGAAGAGAGAATAGGTGAATTTTAAGGCACTGTTGTCAGGTGAGAATGTGGAGAATGAGGTGAAGCTGGAAGTTTAGAAATGCAAGTGAAGATTTTAAATGGAAAGGTTAATAGGAAATCACTTAGGAAGCAGTGTATGGACTGCTTTTCAGTAGTGAGTGCCCAATAGGGATGACATCATAAAAACTGTAGTAGATCTATTCTGCAATGTTTTATGACTTTCTCAAGTCTGTTTAACAGTATGTGAGTAGTATTTGAAGAAGTAGCTACTGGAAGAAATCTGGCGTTTGTGTTTCTCAAGGCTCAAGTAGAAGTGAGTGACACTGTTTGAGAAGTCATAGATTCACAGAATTTCCACAGTGGAAAAGACAAGCTATTTTTCAGTCCTGTTTTTTTTTTCCATTCATTTATTCATTAAATGTATATTTGATAATGACATTTGATGTGCCAATCACTGTTTTAGGTACTAGAGATCAAAATGTAAAAATTAAACTTGTATATTTCTAGTTTATATTTGATTGTTGGGAAAAAATCTATATACATAAACATACAAAAGAAAATACACAATGTATGCACAAAAATAAATATTAAGAAATATTTGGGGATTGGCTACAGTAAATGGAAAGCTCATGATAAATTTATTGGAGCAATTGGTATTTAAAATCAGGAATTTGAATATTCAAGAGTACACATGAGATCATATTGCAAATGAGTAATTGCCTGTGAAAAGATGTCATGAAAGGAGATACATTTCATCTATGAGATGTGGCAAGTAAATCAGTTTGTACTCAATGTAGATTACTTGAAGGGGACTGTTGTTCAATAAACCCACAAAGGGGGATGAGGTCTGGGTCAGGACTTGAAAGGCTATACCACCTCAACTGATGAGCTTTAATCTATTTCATTTGGGCAATATATTGATTGAAATGACTGGTGTCTTACCTGCCGTATATAGAAAAGTGATCAGTAACAAACACTTTTAAGTTTTTTAAAAAGGAAAATCCTAACAATTGATAGTTTTAAGACACTACTCTAGTCATGTGATTGCTGCGGTACCTTCTCCATTCCCAGAGCAGAGATATAATCATAAGAAAGGAAGAGATAAAGAAATTCTGGCATAATAGAAGAAAATAATCAAGGATATTGAATTGAAAGAAGGACTGGAAGGAGAAGAACTTTGAGGGAGAATATGAGGAGCTGATATTTCCTGCCATGCAAAATGGAGAAGAATAAAATGATAGTAAGGAAAATAGTTGTCAGAGACTCCCCATGCCCAGGCCTTAGCAAAACTCTTTCTGCTGAACAGATGAAACCCGTAAGAGGAATAAGAAATACTGTGCATTTAACACACCTCAATTAAAAGATATCCTAGAAGAGAACAATGCCATTATCTCTGATGCCGTTGTGATGACCTCCCAAGGATAATTCCCAAAATAGGCCCAATTGCTATGTCCACTCCTAAAATTTCACAACTGTCAGAGGGTTGAGAAATAAAAGGAAAGGAAAAGAAAGGAAAGGAAAGGGAAGGGAAGGGGAAGGAAGGGAAGGGAAGGGAAGGGAAGGGAAGGGAAGGGAAGGGAAGGGAAGGGAAGGGAAGGGAAGGGAAGGGAAGGAGAGGAGAGGGAAGGAGAGGAGAGGGAAGGAGAGGAGAGGGAAGGAGAGGAGAGGAGAGGAGAAGAGAGGAGAGGAAAGTAGGGAAAAGAAGAGAAGGTAAAGTAGGGGAAAGAAGGGAAGGGAAGGAAAAGAATCAGAGTAAAAGGATTGGGAATAATAAAGAGGATTCAGAGGATTTTTCTCAAATCTCAGTCTCTAAACCTTCAAAAAGAGGAGGAATTATTTGCACAAAGAATAATCTCAAATACTGACAACTTTTCCCAGATAGTAAAAAAAAAAAACAATTTTGAGGCCAAGGTGATTTTTTTATGTGTTAATCCCTAGCTCATGGCCTGTATATGATGCTCAGATTATTCAACCTAGTGAAATCGCCCTGCAGTTTATGTTCCCATGGAAAGGATGAAAATTGCAATTAATGAACCTTGTCTGATATACATGCCACTTGTAGTCATTGTAAACTTTATATTATTTATTGTCATACTTATAATGATAGGACTTCAATATAGACTCACTTAGACTCAGTGCTTCTAAAGCCCATCAAAGTTTAAAAGCAAAGACAGACGTTTTGTCCTTTTCCACTGGTAATTCTCTTGTGAGGCAGTTAAGGGTTGAAACTTTTCATTGATGAAACTCTGCACCAACCGGGAGTATTTTGGATTTGTTCTTTTTACTGGTGCCATAGATAATGTTAGACCCTTCCACCAGTTTGTTGTATAAAAATGCAGAAACCTCATCCAAGCCTAGCATTGATATGTGACCTTGATAACTTCTTTGAAACATATGGGTCTGATAACGAATATTTCCTCCCATGTTTGGCATCAATAACCTGTCTTCAAACAAGCTCCTTCTTAGCAAATTAATTTTGCCACTTGAACCCCACCTTTGAGTGTATTTCCTGCCTGACACGTCTCCCTAAGGCTTGCAATAGGTGGGTGTCTTGCATCTATGAGATGAATCTCTCACTGTTAATATTGCCACTTATAGTGTGTGTATATATAGTCACTGTTTGCCTGCTTGCTACACTACACAAGAACAATCTTTTAATTTACTAGCTTTCTGAGTGTCAATGTTCTAGGAATTTTCAAACCTAAATCTTTGTTTTAACCAAATCCATGAGACCAAACAAAGCACAGCTCTACCCACAATCCTAGTCCATCAAAAAAAGGGATGATTGATTATTCCAACAGTCAAAAATGAAAGAAACTTACCGTGTATTTGCACCAGTCCAGAAAGGAGGGTGTTTGAAGAACGTCTTTTTAACAGGAGGATCATTCTTCAGAAACAAGGACAAGAAACCTGCTATGACTAAGTCCCCTTCCTTTCTGTATGTGGGCCTATACTCTCTTTCTAAATGACAAGGACTCTTTACCATCTGGCACTCAGAAAAAGAAAACTGCAAAAGCAGAATCACAAATAAGTAAGAGGAGAGCCCCAGGTTGCCCAAGCCCATAGTCAATATCCTAAATCTCTAAAGAACCAAGCATTAGCGTATTGTAAGGGGATTGGAGGTTTTTGTTCATGCATCTAGAAACATTTTCAGTTACAAAAGATTTGTGTTCACCATTAGATGCTCAGGTTTTGAACGGCCTCTCTCACTTGGGAAAGTAGAATATGAGACATGAGACAGGCCTCTGTTTAGGACAAAGACAAAATATAGAAAGATCAGGGGATATATATGGGACATTTTTACCTTCTGGATATTTTTCTTCTTGGTCCCTATGGATGGACAAGGAAAGAGGGTTCCTCTTCATGTCTCTTGGGTGCAAGTCAAACAAATATGTTGACCAGAGTTTGAAAGTGAGGGCCTCTAGGGATCATACTGCACAACAAGTGTGCAGCTGCACCTTCCACTTTGATATAAAAACTCAAGTAAAAACAAATAAATTTGGGAATCTCTTTCCCTGTTTTCAGTCCCTGGAGGCATTCATGGGTTCTGTCATGTCTGCAAGAATCTGATCTCTTTTGAACTAAGAATTAGGGCTTCCAAGAGTACAACTTCCAGTCTCACCAAGGCAAATCTCTGCAGTGACCCAACATTTGCAGATATTGAATCAGTGAGAGGTCAGAGTGACGTGACAAGTTCAGAAAGTGTAGTGATAGTGACAGGGCATAGGCCCACAAGTTCCTAGACAGAGAAGAATTTCACATTTTTCTAGTCTTGATAACATGAATTGCATCCTTCAACCATTGGAAACATATGCTAAACCACTGGTAGATGAATAAATAATAGTAATAAAATAGAACTCCTGATAATGTTTTTATGTTGATGAATTACATTCTTCACAACTCTTTCTGTTACTTTACTAGCAGATACCATGGGCTGAGTAGGGCAATTCTCCCACCTGCAATTGAGAAGGATTATAAAAGATGAAAACTTATCACACCACAGTTGCACTACCTGAGTTAGGGTTCACTCAGTCTCTTTACTCTCATCCCCTATAGGCTAACATCAATGTTAAATAATTTATCTGTGATAAACGTTCATTGAATTATGATACTATAGAAAGCATTAC